CCAAGGGGCAGGTGGCTGCTGTAGCTCTTCTGCCTCAGCCTTTCTTTCTTCCCCCACTACCTGTGCCCTCCCTGTCTCCTCCACTGTCTCTGTCCCCCATTTGTCCTCACAGCCTCTCTGCCTGTTGTGGCAGTGGCAGCTTTGGCTAGGCCCTGGAGCTGGAGCCTGATCCAGAGCTGCTGCTACCACTGCTAGTGCTACTGGGTTTGGGCCTGAATTAATCATGCTCTGTGCTCTGGGATAGAGTGGGCTGGAGCAGTGATGGAACCAGAGAATAAGTGAGAGGGTGGGGTCAGCTTTGGGGCAGAGGCTGTGGGGTAAGGAGATGGCGGGGTTTCAGGCAGCATGGCGGGTCATGTGGTGGGAAGGATAGGTGCTAGGGGATGCAGGCATGGGCAGGCAGGTAGCAGGGGGGTGAGGGAAAAGGTGCCAGGGTGGCAGGCAGCAGGTTGGGCTGGTGGGGAACAAGCAGGAAGGGGTGAGGTATGGGAAGGCAAAAGTCAGGGGTCAGGTTGCTTGACCCCCCCACACTGTCTGCCCTGTCACTGCTTTCCCAACCACCTACTCTCCTACTGTCTGCCTTCACACTGCCTCTTTTGCTATTTTACTTTTATCCATTTCCCTACCACTTACTCCTCTACTGTTTCTCCCACAACCTAGCCCTCCACTGCATGCCTCCCTCTTGTGTTCTCCACTGCACCTGTGTGTGTATGTTGGGGGCGGGGGGCAAATTTAAGATGACCCTCCATCAATTAGATTGTGTACATGGGAAATTTAACAACTTTATACATTTTCCATGTATAGAACCTAATTATGCGGGGGGTTGTCTTAAATTCAGTCTCATCTCAGGTTCAGTTGAATTAGAGCTAAAAACACTAAATTCTGACTTGTAATAGAATCTCTTCTTATGAACCACATTCTGATTGAGTTACTGGTGTAGTGAACTGAGTTGAAGGGACAGCATCAATTAGAATTTAATTATATTTGAAGGTAAGTTATGTTTCCCCTACTCAGGGGAAAGTACTATGCTTCTGTGGATATCAGTGTTATCTAGAGATGCAGCTAGTGGATGTTTCATTTTTCTCTTTGCATAGTATTTTGCAAAAGTGAGACGTATGTAGTGGCACCATGAAACTTAGCATCACAAAGCTTTAGAGAGGTCAGAGGAAGGGAGTTGCATTTTGACTATGTTTCTTCATATTCTTGTAGTTATTTGTGGCTAAGTACAGACACTCAAAAAGCTTGAGGCTGAATCAAGTCATTCTTTGTAGGTTAGTCTAAACTACAGAGAGTAAACTGAGAAACAACTGGACAAGCATTCACTTTTGATTCAGGAAATGTAGCCGCATACTTGCAGTGGCTCAGGCCAGAAGCCAAGGGGTGCCAGAGCATGGCTGTCTGGCATGTAGCCAGTGGGGGCTGTGTGTTTGCTTCCTCTTCCTGTTGCCCCAAGGACTCTGGGATTTTCAGTCTAGACTCACAGCAGCAGAGCTCTGCAGAGTTGCTTATCACTCTCTTCCTGCTTCCAGGTGTCTCTGAGATTTGTAGTCCACAGTTGCAGCCAGCAGTAAATTTTTAACAGCTCAGGACAGGGCAGCTCTGTACTCAGGGGAAAGGAAGTATAACCCTTCTCCCTGGCCCCAGATCACATCTGGGGTTTGCTTGTGGGGGTGGCATTCCCTGCCTCCTCCCCAACGCTTCTTTGCTGGAGCAGACAGTACAATCCTACCTAGGGCTGGAAAACATGTTGGGATGCTGAGGGACTGTGATTTAACTTGAACCAGGAAGGGGTCTGGAACAGAAGTTTCATAAACCGGTTTGACTCAAATCAGTTAAGTCTGATACTGCATTCAGCCAGGTTTATCTTAAACCAGCTTCAGCCATTTTGAAACTGGCTTATGTGCACTGAACTTCTGTTCTGTTACAGGTTTAAACCAGTTTCTGATGACTTAAATCAATTTGTGTAACTCCTGTCCCTAGGTTTTGTGATCTACTTATTAATGAAAAAACTGACAGTATTGTATTTTACAGATTCTCAAGGCTAGAGTTCACCAAAATAGACTAACTTGGATATGACTATATTTTGAGTATATTACCTTGATATTTATGCATGGGATATGCTGAGTGAGAGTTATTGCATAGTGGTCCCTACCATAAAACAAATATCTTCAGAAGTGTTAAGCAGAATTTTTAGAAATGCTCTGCTTCTTCCATGGCTATGAACAGTCTCAGATGGAGTGAAATGGACTTGGCTACACTGCACCAGGGAACAGGTTTGGATTTGGGGAAAGGGGTGTGATGACTTTCACATTCTGCCACAACACCCATATCTATACTAGCTGGGATTTGAGGAAAAAGGAATGATGGAAGCAGAGTAGGGCATCTATCTTCAACCTTGTGGAACCTCTTTGCTTCTCCTTGGCATGGTAGGAAGGATTTAGACAGGGTAAAGATGTACCTTATAAATTAATTAAATCTGAGTTGCATGAGCTTTCATGAGCTTGAGATCACTTAATGAAATCATCAAAAGAGCATAAGCCCTTGAAATGTTATGCATCTCTGAAATGGTTAGTTTGTAAGGTGCATTCTGCCTGACTTCAGATTAACACAGTTAACTACTTTCCTCTACTCAGGTAGGATTTAGTCTGATGAGTGACTAGCTCAATTTAAAATCAGATTGCATTATCAAAATAATTTTAAAATGGACAGATTAGAGTAAGAACTGGAGTGAACTAGAATTACTTTAAATCTGCTTTCTTCTTGTATTTCAAACCTACAAAGTTTTGCAAGATCTGTTACTTACCTCTTCACTGATACATGTTTTCTTTGTTTTTAATGAAAAGGGAAACTAAAAATAAAGCCCCTGAACTTCTGCAATACTAAAAAGACCCTAAACATAAAATACAAAGTATATTTTATCAAAGGAAAATATCTAGTTCCATGATTTTAATGCTGTCAAGTTCTAATTGTAACAAGCGTTTACAAATGTAATATGTCCCTATGCAGTCTTTTGAGACCCAGACATGAGAAGCATTATTCTAACCATGAGAGCACCACCATTGTCTAAAAAATGAAAATTACGGTAATAAGAATAGCCCAAAACTTAAAATGACTAGTCAGCTTTCATTATTCAATCTGAAATGAAAAAGGAAATAAATAATATAAACAGGGAAAATGAAATGTAGATTCAAAGCAAAATTCTTTCAATGTTCACTTATTTAATTATTGTTTCTTAATAAATAAATACAGTAAATGAATAAATTCACTTGATCCAGCTCCCAATGAAGACAACTGGATTTCTATTCAAAGAATACCCACATTTTCTTGAATACCATATGCCCCTAAATAAGACATGCACCATGTTTTGGGAAGGCGGAATGAAGAAAAAAAGATTTTTCCAGAGTCACAGTTGAATCCTGATCATCCCTGCTCAGTTAAAAACTACAATGTTAAACCTTGCACAGCTGCTGCCAAATTGGTGATTTAGTTGTGGGGGGGGAAATCCAAGGAACTTCAGGTCTTGATCCAAAATTTTTATGTCAACAGTGTCTTTCTAAAACAGCAGATTTAAGCCTGTGAAAGTCAGAAGTAAGAAACTTGAAGTTTAGAGCAGTGTTAGCATGCTCAGATTGCTCATTAGGGCTAGGGACAGAAACCACACATAAACCGGTTTAAGTGATCAGAAACTGGTTTAAGCCTGTAACAGAACATACGTTCAGTGCACATAAACCAGGTTCAAAATGGCCAAAGTTTGTTTAAGATAAACCTGGTTGAATGCAGTATCAGATTTAACTGATTTTGGTCAAACCGGTTTATGCAACTTCGGTCCCAGAGTATCCCAGCATGCTTTTCAGCCCTGGGCTGGGTTGTGCTGTCTGCTCCAGAGAGCAGTGCTGGCCCTACCCCTTTGTTCTCTAGCTGGAGCAGCAGCAGGGCATGGCCAGACACTGGCTGGCATGGTCCCCAGGGGAAGAGGGAGCAGGGAGGGGTCTTATTCCCCTCTCCCTCCCCTCTTACACTCGGGAACCACATCCAGGGCCTTCCTGGCCAGGGTGTAGCAGCCCTTGTTAGGCCCCTCCCATCCACAGCCTGAAGCAAACTGAGAGAGGGAGGGGGATATAATCTCATCTTCCGTTCCCTGTCCCACTGACAGCCCTGGTCTGCTGGCCAGGGTGGAGCAGCGGAACAGCCCATCAGTCACTTGCCTCCCTCCCCACTCCAGTGGCAGGGGAGGGAGTATGGCCAAAGCCATCTGGCACAGCCCCACCTGCCCTGCCAGTGGCTGGGGCTGTGGGGCTGAGCCAGGCAGTGTTGCTGAGGAGAGGTGGAAGGGCCAACTGGGACTGGGCCATGGGGACCAGGCCCTTCCCAGTAGGCTGCAGTTTGGGCAGGGGCTGCCCAGCCGGATTGCTTCCAGCTCCCTGTGCCGAGGCTAGGCCAAGCTGTCATGGGGATGCAGTTGGCTGGGCACAGCAGCTGTAGCTCTGTGAAAGCCCAGCTCAGCAGCAGGAGACAGAGGAGTTTAATTTCCCCTCTACCCTGCTTCACCTGAGTCACTGCCCTAGACAGTGTCTGGGCTTGGGGACAAGCCTGGCAAGGGCACCTTCCCCCCCCACTCCCATTCCAGGCACACTTTGGCTGGGGTCCTTAAAGGCCAGGGTAGAGGGTTAAACCCCTCTCCAATCATACCTAGCCTATGGCAGGGAGAAGACTTGGCTATGCCTGCATCAGCTTCCCTCCAGCCTTGCAGCTGCTGCCAAAGACAAGGAAGCGCTGCTCTAGTGTTCCCCGGCTTCTAGCTTGAGCCACTGTAGGTATGTTCCTGCATTTCCTGAATGTTTATTCACTTCAAATCAGTTCAATCTTTTCAGGCTAGACTGACCTGCAAAGATTGAATCAATTCAGACTTTTTGAATATTTGTCTACTAGCCTAGTAGAATTGTGTATGTTGTTTGTCTCCTTTGTCCTGTTTTCTTAGTTATTACCCTGATATGGAACTTACTATATTTTCCCTTCTTCTCTCCAGGTCTATAGATATTTTAGAGTTGACAGAACAAGAGGAATTGCTGAAATTTCACTATCATGCTCTCCGATTATATTCAGCTGTTTGTGCTTTAGGGAACAATCGGGTAGCACATGCTATGTGCAGCCACGTGGATGAATCTCAGCTCCTGTATGCCATTGAGAAAAAATATATGCCAGGCTTGTTACGTACAGGCTATTATGACTTACTTATTGATATCCACCTCAACACCTATGCCACTGCCAGATTAATGATGAATAATGAATTTATTGTTCCGATGACAGATGAGACCAAGAGCATTACTCTGTTTCCTGATGAGAATAAAAAACATGGCCTCCCTGGTATAGGGCTCAGCACCTCTCTGCGGCCTAGGATGCAGTTCTCTTCTCCCAGCTTTGTAAGCATTAGCAGTGAGTGCTATCAATTTAGCCCTGAATTCCCTCTGGAAATCTTAAAGGCCAAAACTATTGAGATGCTGACTGAAGCTGTTCAAGAGGGCAGCCTCCATGTTAGAGATCCAGTAGGGGGTTCTACAGAGTTTCTTTTTGTCCCGCTCATCAAGCTTTTTTACACCCTGTTAATCATGGGAGTCTTCCATAATGGGGATCTGAAGCACATCTTGCAGTTGATTGAGCCCAGTGTTTTCAAAGAAGACACAAGCCAAGAGGATGAAAATGAAATGCCAGAGAAGGAGCTGACTACAGAGGAGCTAAAGCCAGAAGGAGGAGAGGAAGAAGCCAGAGGAGAGCAAGTGCCAAAGGAAGGGCTTCTTCAAATGAAACTTCCTGAACCTGTAAAATTGCAGGTAATGAGATTTACCATGTCAATGGTTAGTCTAACTTATGTGACTGTCTTAAACACTGTTGCAGGCAGCATATACCTGTATTCCTTGTTTGCCCTGTGTTTTGAAATGTAATCACTGTTATTTATATAATGTAGCATCATCCTATCATTGTCAAGGGGTTACAGGAGTATTTATGAAACCTTTTTGGAGCACCAACTGACCTAATGAAGGGTGTACATAGACAGTTATATTATACCGTATGCATGTTTAGTTTAACCCATAACTTCTAAAGAACATAACTGGTTGTATTACTACTGTGAAAGCATGAGCATATCATAGCTTAGTTTCAGTTATCTAATAATACATGCATTACTTTTAATGTAAATGGTCCATCCTTACCATGTTATTGGTTTACTATGAATATTTTATAAATTTGACTGTTTTTGTTGCTGGTGTTTCCCCAGATGTGTCACTTATTGCAATATCTGTGCGATTGCCAAATACGTCATCGGATAGAAGCCATTGTAGCATTTTCTGATGATTTTGTAGCTAAGCTTCAAGAAAATCAGCGCTTTCGTTACAATGAAGTTATGCAAGCCTTAAACATGTCTGCTGCACTGACAGCCAGGAAAACAAAAGAATTTCGGTCTCCACCTCAAGAGCAGGTACAGCTTAAAACAGAAATTTATAATTAGTACTCCCCGCTCTTCCATACTGTAAGAGTGGTGGTAGAGTCAAAGGAGGAATTTAGGAATCCAGTCCAGGGAAAGTGTCCTAGTGATCAGATTTTCATTTGGTTCTCAAGCTTTTCTGCACTGGGAAATGAGATTATTTTAGACCATGTTAACTTCTATTTAAAACTGTCAATACAGATAATGAATTTCGTGCATTAGCAGTGTGATCCCTAGGTTTCACACTGGAAATAATTATCACTGACTGACATGATTGTTAACATGACAGACTTTATTCATACTGATGACACATTGTGTTTGCTAATTTGTATTAGCTACTGTCCTTGCATGTTGTAACCTCTCATCATAGACAAGCCCTTAGTATGTGCAACCTTGTTAGGCTGCTGCCTTTGTATTCATTGACCTTATAGGAATATATGCTTTCTTCTCAAAGGAAGCACTTTGTTAACAATAACACTTTGCATATGCAAATATTCTTTTTTCAGCTGAAGATATCAATGTGATACTTAGACACTTGTTAATTGACACTTTACACTGCCATTTTTTGTATATTTTATTCACAGCAAAACAGATTCAGAGAGACCAGATAATTTGCCTGAAGTTGCAGTGTTCATTACTGACACAATTGAAGAAAGAAATTAGGAGTCCTTTAATACTCTACTCTGACCATTCATTGTTATTATTAGTCGTTCTCCATTCTTATTACCATGTTTACTTGATTCTAAAATGACTTTAAGATGATCCCACAATAATTTGATTTTAGACATGAAATCGAGTAAATATGGTAATTACCTTTTTTATCTCTTCTACTTAAGCATCAGATTTTTCCCCTTCAGAAAAAAAGAATTTCTATAATGCTTGAATTTTTCATAAATACATAAAGAATGGCTGTAATTAAAAATATTTGATTCAGTGTTGCTTTTCTGCACAGTTTTATGGGCGTAGTGAACAAAAAGATATCCAAAATATTCACATTTGGTGTAAGTCCTTTGAGTAGCATTTGGATTCCAGACATTCCTGGCATTATATATTCTTTCCTACCCACCACAGGGTCCCTGAATAACTTCCCAAAAATCTAATTTTTTTTTCTGGTATTAATTCATTTTCAGATAAACATGCTTCTGAACTTTAAGGATGATAAAAGTGATTGTCCTTGCCCTGAGGAAATTCAAGATCATCTTCTTGATTTTCATGAAGATCTAATGACACATTGTGGTAAGCTCTGTTTTTATAACCTCTCATTTCTGAAATTGTATTAGACAAATAAAACAACTTTAACAAAGGCACTTTATAGGTTACTATTTATCATAGACAGATAAAAAGTCAGATAATACAAAATACATTTCTTAGTCACGATACAAGTGGAACTGTCTCCTCTGATCAGAATACGAGGAAATAAATCATATTTTATTTCAAAAGGGGAAAGGTTCCCTTCATATAAATGAACCCTACTCAAACTACTCAAAGAATAGTAAATTAAATGTAGCTCACTAGCTTTTTGAGAAAACCACTCCTGACCTGCAGCAAGACTAGAAGTTTCTGCTCCTCAGTTACCTTCCCTCCCCTTCACTGTGGAAACCCACCCTGTAGGTTCTAGTTAATCTTTAGGTGACTCTTGTCATATCTAATTAACTGTGTTCATACTAACCACAATAAAAGGGCAACTGTGATTTCAGTTGTTCATCCTTACCTGACCTCTTGGAGAGGTTTTTATTTGAAGAAAGTGAGAGGAAAAAGGGTGTTTTGGCTGAATCAAAATGGGCAAGTAAAATTCTTAAATCCCAAGTCTTGCTTCAGGTAATAATGCAAAGTTTAACTGATTTTCTTATATTTAAATGCTCCAAATCTAAATGCAAGTAAGTGCAAAGTAAACAGAACAGAAGTTAAAAAGCAGAATCTTTTTGCACATTTAAACTTATAACCATGGACATTGCAGATGCAACTAAAATTTTTGTTTGCACAGCTGATATATTTAAATTTTGCTCTAGTCATCTTGGAGCTAGCAAGGTAATGCAGCAGACAGCACTTTGTTAGTTTCAAATTATGGATGCCCCTTGCTCTGTCCAAGTCACATATTGAACACACAAAAAAATTAGCCACTTCATCTATAAAAGGAGCTACCTGCTGATAATTAACAGATGGAGGTATTGATTGAGCTGCTCCACTCTTATATTCTGTCTTAATTAGGTGGAGGATGCTGGTGCTGACATATATGATTATGCTTTTTGCTTAACTAAGACCCTTACCTAGCCTAGAGGAAACTGTCCTGAACCTGTCAGTATGGCGTGGAGTTCCTTCCAGTCTGGGGTCTGAAGTTAACCAGAAGCACCTCAAAAAGGTGCTCTCTTATTATTCTGACATTTCTTCCCCCTTTGAATGAGGGAAAAAAAGCTTTGATAAAATTAGCTGTCAGGTGGCAGGAAGTGAAACTGAAATTAAAGAATTGAAAATTGATTGGGGCTTTCTTCTCTGCTCTTTCATTTTCCTGGTTGACTTCTGTAGCTTTCTCATTCCTTTTCATTATCAACCTCTTATCTCAGAAGCATTCTGTTCAGGTTTTTTTCATTCCCCTCCTTTGTGTAAAATCTGGAGTTTGCTTCAGTCTGAGGAAGCCAGAAGTGTCTCCATTATCCATAACCCAGTGTCTCCATTAGCTTTCTTGCTGTCAAACAGCTTGAAAAGTGCCTATTCAGAGGCTAGAAGAGGCCTAATAAAGACAGAACACATGAACTTATATATTCACAGCACAGTTATTGCAGAAGAACAGACCATTGATTATGCATCTCTAAGGGCTGCAATTAGCTAGTTAGCTCTTCAGAATGTGGAGCTTCTCATATTGTACATAGGTTGAGAAATAACCACATTGATATTCTGCAAATTGGACAACTGGAACCACAGTGCTGGGACTTGTGCAACTGGGGGAAACTGACATTTTTGCATCAGTAACTCTACAGCACCTCTGCATGCTGATTACTGAAATATTTCAATTTTATTATTGCTTTGGCTGGAGAGGCTTCTATACAATATCACTTTGTATAAAATTGAAAGCTATTGACGATTCATTTTTAGTTCACTGTTGACTTTCCCTTGGGGCAAAGTACAATAAAACTGTCTTGAAAGAGAACTGGAACCATTTCCAAATGGATGAATGCAAAAAATCCAAAAAAAAAAAAAAAAAAA